TATTTACTATACTTACTCTATTTTTTTTTTGCACATGTTTAAGGCCTATCAGAGTCCTGAATAAATAAATTTTCCCATATGCTTATCAAGGGCCGGGGCTAGGTATCTTTCTGGCTGATGCAGTCTCTTGAGGTCCTAAATTCTGCTACCAAGCATCTCCCTAAGCTCTAAATTTTTGCCACTCCTAAATTTTGGGTACCTGTGCTTTCCCTAAATTCTAAAAATTTTGTCATTTCTTAATTTTGCTATATCATCAATTTTTTATGCTTCTCTAAATTCCAAAAATTTTGGCTTTCCGTATTATGCCACCCAGTGTGGCCATATTACCTCTGGTGCTGGTTCTGGGTTAATGTGAATAAGAAATCAGTTATTCTTAATTCAAATAGTACTAAATGTAATCTTTTGGTATATGAGTATCAACAAAATCTGTTTTTAGCATATAAAAAATTTTTGTTAAATGTTTCCTCGTCAACATTTCTTAGCACATATAACAAATCTGTATATAAAGAAATTAAATAAATATAAATTAATATAAAGAAATTATTTAGGCATCACTGCATGAGACATTACTCAAGTTATGTGTTGATAAACGTGTGGTGATGAAAGCAAAATATAATAATGATTTGCCAGGTTGGTATCAGGGATTTAAAATATCAGTAGTAGCATAACATCCAAGATGTTTCTTATGTAGAATGTTTTGGTTTGAGATGTATGCCAAGCAGATGTGCAGCTACGAAGCCAAATTACTGATCAAACAAATTTATACTAAAATGATTGTTTCTTGAATAATGAGGTATTTTATTTAGTGATGAAGTGAAATTAAGAATTGGAACTCTCCACAGGCTTTATTATGGGAAAAAAATGTGCGTGTGTAAAGCATTAAAAAAAAAACCTCTTGTGGCTTTGAGGACCAGATTTTAGATCATTCAGAATATTGGACATCTGGATCTCGAACTTTGCACTATACACATACATATTTATAATTTCATAAACAAGCTTATAAGCCTCCACTTTTGAAAACTCATGTTTCAAGAAATTAAGATTCAATGGAAAGCACTTCATTAGCGATTCTGAACTCGATATGAATAAATGTTTCCATTCATGATACAATCCAGACTCACAAAAAGAAACAATTAATTATATTTATTACGAATGTAGTATATCTGCACCTGTTCAATAATATTACATGAGATTATTGCTTTAATTGGATATATAGAGCATTTGAATAATCATTCACCAAAACATCCAAGTAAACTATTTAATTCAAATATGTTGTTACATTTCATTAAATCACAAAACTGATATTACCTAGGCCAAAATAATGCATACTTTATTGGTTTTTAAGTTCAAGCAATGCAATTCAACAGTTGAACTGCATCACAATTAAAAATATATGGTGCAGGTACTTGATTTTGAACTACATCGACTGTATATTTTATCAAGTTTGAAAGGATTTCAAACTGTATTGAATTTATCAAGGAAAATTGTGACAGAAATATTGAACAAACTGTTATAAAAAAACCTGTAGATATTATGGTGAAAGAAACCTTATTCTGTTGAAGAAAATAAATACAAATTTAAGTGAAAAGAGAAAATTAATGTTTCAAATGCAGATTAATGTTTCTTGAGCTCAACTGATGACTAATATTTAATAATAATTTACTCAGTCACTTAATGCAGTTACAGTTATGAATATTAAACTTGATTAAGCAAAGCTTTTGCTTTATTTAAAGTGAAATATTTTCTTTTGTAATTAATTAAACATGATTACCTGAATACTAGTATAGTAACAGTTTCATAATTATTAACCTTTCCTGTACAATTTGCCCCAATAAGAAAAACTTATTTTGTACTTGCTTCCTAAACATGGTTTAAAAGTTGCACACTCTAAAAGCAACAGAAAGTCAGTATATTCACTCCTAAGTACCTCTACAAATTCTGAATTCAGGAGCATGGAAATTAAAAGTCTAGGACGAATAGATTTAATGAAATACAGCCAGAAGCCACAGTTTTTTTAACATCTAAGTCAGAAAACATTTAAAATTTCATTTCATATTAATGTAGTTAGCACAGACACGTATAAAATCATGAAGACAATCACAAAATTCACTATACAAGTTTAGTAACTACAATTACGTCCACTAAACACCATTACTAAATACCTCAAAAGTAAATGCTGAATGTGGCAACTATTATTACTGAGCTTGAGTTTATACATACGAAAAGAAGAAAAACCAGAGATTTTTCATACATGCTGACATATAGTTCAAAAACTAAGCCATGCATTCAGGTTTTCAAGGCACAATGCTAACTAAAAGACATAACTGAAATGAATAAACTAATACAGTGAAACCTTCATTCACAAACTTAACTTGTTTCTGTATATAATAGTTCATCACTCAAAGTATTCAGAAACTGAAATAAGTTCCCTCATAGGAATTAAAATAAAATGAATTAAACCAGTCATGGATCTCAAACGATTGTTTAGAAAAGAATACTGTTACGAAATGTCCAGGTGTGGTAAGATAGCTTCCCCGTAAAGGGGAGGCAGGGTTGCCACATTTGGTGAGAAATTGCCCATTTGGTGACAAAATTGGTAATATGCCATTGACGGATGGAGAACCTTCTGGAATGAATTCTTACTGGTTTAGCTCAGAATGTTCTTGAACACAAGCCAAAAGCTATATAAACCCTTCTGGTACGCGAAGAGTCAGTTAGTCAATGCTCAGAGGAATCAGTGAGCAAGTGTCTTGTAGTCTAGTGCTGAGTTGATCGTCGAGTGCATCAAGAGTCTTTGTGTATTATGAATTAGTGCATTGTTGAGTTTTATCTTAGAGTGTGTTAAGCTCCGGGAAAGACTAAACCAAGTCGGGAGCTACACATTAGTGTATCTTCGAGTTGTAGCGTGGAGTGTCTCGAGAGTACGTAGAGTTCCAAGGACGACCAAGCAGAGTCGAGAGCTGCACTCTGGTGCTTTGTCGTGAAGCTGTATTCACCGTTAGTCTGATTGCCTGAAGGCTAAGCTGCTAATTGTTTCAGGATGTTTATAGTAGTTCTTCGACGGCTGTAAACATGATTTTGGAGCTGTCTTGAATAATACTGGCTAATAAATTGTGTTTTGATACTGCATCAAGTGCTGTTGTCGTTGTTCGCTCCAAATCCATAAACCCCATAACGTATGTAACGAAGAAACGTAACAATTGGTGTCAGAAGTGGGATCTGCGGGTGTAAGCCAGTGACAAGAGTGATGGAAGAACTATTAAGACAGCTCGTGATTGCCTTTGCTGAATTACAAGAAGAGATAAAAGCCGGATATGAGGAGACGGCGGCTGAGATAAAAGCTATAAATGAGATAAAAGCTGGATATGAAAAGATAACATCTGAGATGAAAGCTGGACCAAAAGAGATGAAGACCAGATGAGAAGAGATGAAAGCCGGCCGAGAAAAGGTGCTAGAGCAACTCCAACGGAAGTGAATGACAGAAGTGGCATCTTAAGAATCAAAGGATGAAGAAATGAAGTAGCTGGTGAAGTGTCTGAGAAAGATCAAGAAATGATGGATGAAACATCTAACAGGATTAAAGAAAAAGAATGAAAACATGAATAAAAGATGGGAAAGAAGCTTTTGATTCTCAAGTGCCTGAAGTGGAAGAAAGTGAAAATGTGACTGTTCAGTTCGTCAAAACTGATAGTGAAATTACAAAGTCACAGTTAGCAAGTATTGAACCATCTGAAAATGTATGTGATGCAGAGATGGAAGAATCTGATGTGCAGCTTACGCAGTGCTCCAGTATTGCAAGAAAATTGACCCACTCTACAAACTAAATGTGTACCTCCTCATACGAGTTGTACAGACACCAACTTAATTTTAAATCAGGATACTTCTATTTGTAAAGAGTCAGAGTCTGTTCATAACTTTAATGCAAACAACTAAACTGGTTTTCAAGAAATCAAAATCGAGGTAAATAAGCATATATCAACTTCTACAATTACCGAGGTGAACTGTACACATGATACGAATAAACTACAGGGTGGTGACAGTCTGAAAGGACTCAATCTTCAGACTGTGATATGAAACTCAGAAAAACATCTGAGAACTCCAGTGAAAAAGTATTTGACCCTGGTATAACTTAATAAAAAGCTTGAGACTGCACTTCATGCTGAACTTGTAGAATTTCATAGTTTTATGCGGTTAATTTGTGTATATAACTTGTATATAGTGTAAATATTTGTTTCCTTAGTTATTTGTTTTATAACGTTTTTATTTTAATGATTTGACTTCTGATCAAGGATTGTACTGAACGGGATGTGCAGTCCTTGGGAGACCGCAGTGCTACGAAATGTCCCGGTGCGGTAAGATAGCTACCCCGCAAGGCAGGTTTAGGTTTGCCAGAAAATGGCAAGGGAAGGCAGGATTGCCACATTTGACGAGAAATCACCTATTTGGTGACAAAAATCGGCGATTTCGGTTTTCTTATAGATTTAATTTAGAGAAAAACCACGTGATGCTCCAATTCACTTTTTTGATGCAAATAACGAAGTATTAAGCTAATGTATATAAAAATCGTGAGAAATTTTAAGTATAACAAAAAAGCGGGAGAAATATGTTGCAAATCAGGTTGGCGGGAGAAGTCAGAAATGGGGAGTCTCCCGACATTCTTTCATAACAGTAAAAAGTTCTTTAAATTTCAGTCTAAAACATTTTTCAGTGTTTACTAATGTAAAAATAGCAAAGTACTAACTTACCTTGATTCAAATAAAATTCAACTTAAAGCAAAAAGTTTCACACACACACACACACAAAAACTAAGCATACATAACAGTTTAACTGCAAAAGCCTTGTTAGGAAACAGTTTGTTTTCATCTGTTCCTCTACCACAACTATGTCATACAATCTTCTGAATAAAATGTCATAATTTTTATAAGGTATTCAAATCATATTAGTTATAAAAGATTCTAAACTTTAAAAAAAAAAAAAAAAAAAAAAAAAAAACTACATACTTTTTTCTGGTCCAGCAATTCCTGTTGTCTTTCCTCAGCTTCTTTTTTAATAGCTTCTTCCTCTTTTTTAATAAGTTCTAGTTTAGTTTTATTGTCAACTTTACCTTCGATTTCTCCAATTTTATATTTTGCTTCGGTTGCCTGTAATAAAATGCATAAACACTATCATTGAAAAATTCCACCTGATGCTTCTTATACAGTCACTAATAAATTGATTATTGTATAAGTCAATTATAGTATTGAATTTAACTGATCTCTTAAACATCTATACTAAGGCTGAGCAACCAACTCATTGCAGTTACCAGTTGATAAAAGAATGCTTTTAAATCAAGCATAAGTCACATAACCATAAGTACATTATATTTTAACTGCTAGATTGCATTATTCCCTGTAGAAAAATAAGCAGATTATACTTGAGAAAAGGGTAGCAACCTCTTATATATACTAGTACTAAAAGTTTATCAATTACCTTTTTAAAATAAAATTAATTACTAAGTTAAAATTTTACCATTCTCATCTGTATCAATCAGGATCCAAACTTTTGTACGCTTTCTAAGCATATAATCTGTAACACTGGTTCTCAATGGGGGCAGTGAAAGGATTTTGAGGGGCGATGAACTTGTTTTGGGCCTCAGAGGGGCAGTGAGCATGTCTTGGGCAGGAGGGGTTAATAAGCATGTCTTGGCACTCGAACTTAATTTAAAAACTCCCCTAAAAATTCATTAAATCGATTATCCGATTTACACCATTTGTACCAGCAATAAAATGAACTTGTGGGACGGCTCCCCTCTGGAATTTTAAGAATGGTGAGATGAATCTGCAAAAAATTCTTCCTGGCAAACAAAATAAAGATTTGTCATTTTTCTTGAACATCACAGCCAAGTTTCTGAAGCCACCATCTATCTCAGCAACCTCATCAAAAAAATTCAATGATTGTTTGATAGCCTCTTATAATCAATCAAAATTAATTGCTAAATTGGGAAAAGCTCATACCATGGACGAAGAGTTGATACAGCAGACTGTCAAGGTTTTACACCATACATGTTACAAAAAATGGCCTATTAAGTGATGATACAGTGCAGCAATGACGGAAGATACTGAAGCTTCATTATGCAAACTTTTGATACCCACCGAATTTTCTCTTCAGGTTGATGAACCAACCTTGCCAGGTACTAATGAGGCTTTACTGTTAGTGTATGCCTGGTTTGTGAAGGAAGTAAAAATTATTCAAGAGATGCTTTTAGCAAAAAGTTTGATTGCGGATACTAAAAGTTAACCTATTTTTAATACTGTCAAAAATTATTTTAATGAGAAAAATATTCCTCTTGCAGACATTATGTCTGTTGCCACGGACGAAGATCCTGCAACGGTGTATCGTCATCACTGGTTCATCGCCCTTTTGATGAAAGAGGTAACAAGTACTTTAGCTGTTCATTGCGTGATTCATAGACAGCAATTAGTTGAAAAAAAAAATCCTAAAGACTGTTGCTTCAGTCATTACAATGTGCCATCTCTACTGTGAATTTTATTCACAGTAACGCTTTCAATGATTCATTATTCGAGCAGCTGTGTAAGGACAATGAAGATTTCAGTCACTTGCTTCTACACATCAAGCTTAGCTGGCTTTCCGAAGACGCTTGGCTCAATAGGTTCTGAAATCTTTTCGACTCTGTACCTGAGTTCATCAAAGAGAAAAATGTAGCTCTGAAAGACAAACTGCTCCAATTTAAGATTGATGTTGCTTACATGAGAGATTTATTCGGAAAATTCATTTGAATTAATTTGCAGCTTCAAGGCAAAGAACTCACTTTGATCTGTAATTTCTGCCTTTCTAAAAAAAAACACTTTGTAAAAGCAGAATTTCGGTCACAATGAGTTCAGCCAGTTTCTAATCTTGTCTGATCTGCATAAGAGCAGTGAATCCCATTCAATGAAATACACGTTTACTGTCAACACCTTTAGTCTTTGCGCAAGAACTTTTCTGAGCAGTTTGAGGATATTTTGTTCCAGAAAGTCCCTCAGTGGGTCATGAACTTTATATGAATATTGAGGCAGCAGAGGTTCAGCTTCAGGGGGAACTGGTGAAATTTTCAAATAACGAAACTTTGAAAGCCTAATTCCAGAATGGTGATCATCTCAAAAAATTTTGGCTTCAAAGTAACATCAGTTGTTTCTACCCAGAATTGTGGATTGTCGTCAAAAAATTTTTAATTGCTTTCCCTTCCTTCTACCTTGTCAAGTGAGGAATCAGTACTGTGACTATCATAATTACAAAAAAGAGACGTCGACTGCAAATTGGGGAAAGAGGGGACTTGCACCTTCATCTGTCTAAAAATATTGAACCAAACGTTCAGAAGCTGGGTCTGAACCATTAAGCCATTGATCATACTTTATTGTTTCATAAATATTTCTCCTTTAGTGTATTTTTTGGCTGCTCTTTTTTAATTACTTACTTAAGAATAATAAGCAATTTTTTTCCTTAAGTCATTTTTTTTCTAGCATTAATCATTTCAATTTTAACAAAAGGAATATAATTACCTTCAGGGAAAACAATTGAGTTAAATCAAGCAAATCTGGTGTGTGAGTCTACTGAAAAAAATTACTAAGATTTTTGCATTTTATAATTCAGAAGCCCCCCTTTCCCATACCTAAATTACAGGATTTTCACAAAGTGAGGCAGTGAAACATTTTTCGCTACTTAGAGGGGAGGCAGCTTTGAAAAGGTTCAGAATCACTGATCTATAATATGATGAATAAATTACAAAATATAAAATAATTTTATGTAAATTTTTGGTCTTCAACTAAAAAATGGGGAGATCACACAGTAAAGCTAAGGTAATCATGTGACACTTTTAATTTATAGATGCAAAGATAATTTTTATACAGTCAAAAGTCTTTAATTCGGATTCGTCAGGACTTCGGCGATTCCGGTTTATCGATTTTTCCGGATTATAGATCATCAGTTTAAATCTGGTAAGATGGCATGCAGAAATTATAAAATTAAAAATATGAAACCATAATTTATAAAATAATGAGCAATTATGATCTAAAGGGTACCAAAATTTACAAAAAAAAAAGAAGCTTAACATTTATTTGTTTACTTTATTAAACATTTCTTTCAACGCGCGCATGCGTAAAGCATACATTACGCATAGCTGAAATTAGAAAAGTGCAACCAGAAAACTATTTGATTTGTATTCGTGATATTTATAATGATGAGGAATTTGATTTAAATCATACCAAAGACGGAGTACATAGAGATGAAATAGTACATTTAATAAGGAATTATAAACCGAATAAAATAAAAACATCTGCCCTGAAGATAAGGATAGCGCCACAGATCAACTTCCAGTTCATTGCGTGCCGCGACTTTCCTCCCCCCCCGCGCAGAGCAGCGTGAAATTGATAAACAGATTTCTTAACGGTTAGATAAACAAAGGATATGCCTTTATCCCTTTTTTGTAGCAATTCCACTTTTTGTTTGATGGACATCGAAAGATACTTTCGTTTTGTAGATCCTTTGGGAGCTCCAGCATCGGAAATTCTATTTGACATAATCGAAAGTTCAAGCTTACTTTTATAAAATTGCTCTTACAGTCTGCAAAAAATAATAAGCTGGATCCAATTCGAAGATTAAGGAACAACGCAATCATCAACATTAACTGAAATAGATAACTTTAGCTTATACCGTTCATTATACATTAAGCGCTCACGCGAAAACGTATTCTGCGCTTGCACAGATGCATATGCGCAGTCGTAAAGGTCTTGCGTGCACGCGTAAACGCCTATGCGCATGTGTCAACGCGGCGCATGCGCAGAAAGATTTTAGCTTTGACGTCCGGATTATAGATGATTCCGGATTATGGGTGTCCGAATTAACGACTTTTGACTGTAGTGATTTTACCTGAATCCCAAGGACAAGCAGAACAAACCATTTCTAAGGTATCAAAAAGTTTTATTATAATTCAAAAAGTACCCCAAATGATTTTGTGATATAAATCATGTTCAATTGCACTTAGCAAAGTTACTAGCTTTACCAAGCCAAATGGGGTTCTGAAAATGTGCAGGTCTCTGTTTATAAAAAACATAGGGGGGGCCTTTTGTTTAAGGCACAAACACATTTTATGCACTCAATAAATGTATGCAGAAAATCTGAAATACATTCACATATTGGCAGTTGGACCTACAAATAAATGTATATTAGCCAATTACCTACATATACTATATAAAACATACAGTTCTTTAAACTAAAAACCAGTTACAGAGTAATAGGTCAGGTGGTTGACTTTGTTATTCGGGTTTTTAAAGTCAGAGGCAAACTTTAACAAGGCATCATTTCCATTACAAATCTAAAGGAAGTTAACATACGTTTTTGAACTGGATGACATGTCTAATTTCAAATACACATTCTGATGGCATTTTATACATGCAATACAAAGTAAGAGATCTGGATTCATTGGGACTTGGATGATTCCAGATATTAGATCATCAGACACGTAGAGGTTATATAGATGACACGTAGAGATTATATAATACAGTCGAATCCGGTTAATTGGACCACCGGATAATCGTACCAGCCGCTTTTTCAGACCGAATCCTTAGCAACCAAAACAAATCCTATGTACATAAGCCTAATATTATTTGCTTATTTGGACCAAAAAAACGCAAGAGCGAATAAAAAACAGAAGCCACAAGTTGGCCGCGTACAACGCATGTACAGATGGTCCGCAACATATGGGAGGATCTGTAGCTGCACTCCCCAGGAGCTTTATCAAAGGTCAAGAATTCCTTAAAGTGCATGACAAGAGCAAAACCAGCGGGAGGTAAACACATGCACCATTTTCTTTGACCTTTCTTAAAACAGAGCTACCAGTAGCCATCAGCAAGGTTAATGGTCCCACTGCGTCTCCAATTTTTGATGAAATGAATAATACAGTGTCCGGCTTCACCTGAAAGGAATTCCCGCCAGTCAATGATGATTAAAGTTTACACGAGAAAGCCATCATTTCACCACCCTTCTGGGATGATTTTAGTGCCAAAGTTCTGAATGACGAGTTATCTCCCTCTTGACCCAGAAACACCAAGGTTTCTTCACACCACTTTAGTCAGTGAACTGTGCTCATGTCTTTTCTTCTCTGCCAAAATGCCACGACAGGCCTTGACATTAGCCGAAAATGTTGGTTTCTTGGATAAAATCAAGCAACAACCATGAAACACTAGTCAGCATCAGTTGGTGGAAATCGCCGGATTGGCAAAGACTACAATTTTGTGCTTGATAAAACAAGAGAATGAGCTGTGAGAAGAATAGACACAATGTGAAAGACGAAGAGGAACTTTCAAAAAATGGAAGCATGAAGGCAAGGATCCAGACATAGATGAGACTCTTAATGAATGGTTTGCTATTGTTACTGGATGAGTTGAGCGAGTAAGCAGCCCAATGTTAAAATGAACTCTCTAAAAAGCTGGGCCACGATGACTTTAAAGCTATGAACGGTTGGTTGTCTCAACAGAAATCTAGGCATGACATAAAATTCAAGAAAGCACATGGAGAGAAAAAAAGTGCTGATAGTGTAGATGCTGAAGAACGGAAATCAACAAAACTGCCCGAGCTTCTTGAAAATTTTTCCGCAGATTACATCTACAATGCTGATGAAACTGGGCTGTATTATCGTACTATACTGGACGGCTCATTAAGTTACAAACATGTTGCACTCTCTAGCTCTAAAAAAAGCGATGGATCGGGTAACTGGCTTGTGCTGCTCTAACATGTCAAGAGTGGACAAGAGGAAGGTGTTGGTTATAGGAAAAAGCCCTAAGCCTTGCTGCTTTAAAGGACTTAGGATGGACAGTTTACCAGTTGTGCATTGTGCGAACAGGAATGCGTGGATGACCTTTGAACTTTTTAAACAATGGTTGAAGGACTGAGACAGAGAGCTACAATGCCAGTCGCGAAAAGTGTTGCTTCTTCTTGAAAATTGTGCAGCACACCCTCATTTAGATTGCTTCTGGTATTCATTTAGATTGCTTCTGGGAGGGAATTTCTACCTCCCAGGACCACAGCTTTGGTCCAGCCAATAGACATAGGCATGATCAAAAATTTGAAGACCCTTTATCGTGCAAGGTTGGTTAATTACATCCTTGAAGCAATTGAAGAAAGTTTGCTGACGTCGTCATCAAAAGCCAGTGAAGTCAGTGCAAAGGTCAACATCTTACAAGCAGTTACATTTGTGGCCGACAACAGACGAAAAGCGAGCAGTGAGACAATTTAGAACTGTTTGTTGTGGCTTTAAGCACTTGGTTTTGGAGATGGATGTAGATATGCTCAATGAAAGTGAAAATGATCTTCAACAGGTACAAAATTGCGAACAATTTTTATCCACTGACAACAAGCTTCAATGCTACGATAACAATGAAGATTACGATGATGCAATTGTTGCAGCAAAACACACGACAGTTTCGGAAGACCAAGAAAGTGATGATGATGATACCGCTAATAAGTTGGTGCAAGTGACAACACAAAATGTGAGGAAATGCATTGAAACTTTGCGTCAGTATTTCATGCAGGAGGGAAATGAAGGAAGTCCCATTGCAGCGTTAGATGTTTGTGGCGATTTTGTTCATGTGCAATCCGTCAAGACAGCCCGTCAGATTACATTGGATAAGTTCTATAAATATTGACTGGAACTTGGTAAGAACTTGCTTTTATTGTGCTTCACATACTGAGTATCATGGAGATCGTTTCTTAGATTTTATTTCTAAATTAATTTTCTCAATGAAAAAAGTTTGACTGTAGCTCTTGTTTGTACATGTATGTTCGCCATACATTTGTACCTCACAATTAAGGTCAAAATTACAGTTTAGTACATGATTTATATGTACATTTACTGTTTGCTACATATAGCACATGTTCCTGTAATCGGACCAGCCGGTTATTAGGATCAAAACGATCACTTCCCAATGTGGTCCGATAAACTGGAATTGACTGTAGTAACAATAATAATAATAATAAATTAATGCATCACCTTAATAAATACTTCTTTCAGAGCAATTATTTTATTTTTTGGGCTAACACTTTCTCTTAAATTCTATTTATAGGTAATTAAGACACAATAATTAAGACATTTATAAGTCTTATTCTATTTCTATTTATAGGTATACTATTGGCCATGCATCATATGACAGATGACTAAAGACATGTTGATCAACTGAATTTTGTCTTGCTTCTATCTCACACTGATGAAGTTAAGCCTGAACTATATTAGTTTAGTTATTTTTTATACTTACACCAATTTCAGATGCATGCCTATCTGAGCCTCAAAAAAGCAAATTCCCACATATATTTACAGCTTATCTCCAGGGCTGCCTGCCTAGTGCAAAGCTGATCCAGAAACTTTGCAGTCTAGTGCAGTCTCTGCAGATCCTAAATTCCTTTTCCAAGCACCTCCCAAAATTTTACATCTCGGTGCTGTTTCTAAACTCTAAAGATTTTGCCATCCCTTAATTTTGTTGGCAGGTGCTTCCCTAAATTCTAAACATTTTGCTTTCCTTAAATTCTATTCATTAGTTCTGGGCCCAGTCCGGATCTTATCTGAATAACAAATCAGTTACTATCAATTCAGAGAGGACTAAATGTAATTTCTCTGCTAATGATTATTATTTACAAAATCTTCACATCACCACAAAAAACTTTGCAGAGCAGAGCCTAAATGCCTACATAAAAGGTTATCAAGCTTTTTGGTATTCAAATACTAATGAAAATATTGTCCAGACACTGCTGTGCAAGTCATTTCTCAAGTTTCTACATGTTGATAGTAATGCAGTGATTAAAGAAAACAGTACAGTCAAAAGTCTTTAATCCGGACTCGTCGGGACTTTGGCGATTCCGGATTATAGATCATCAGTTTAAATCTGGTAAGATGGCATGCAGCAATTATAAAATTAAAAATATGAAACCGTAATTTATGAAATAAAGAGCAATTATGATCTAAAGGGTATCAAAATTTACAAAAAAAAAAAAAAAAAAAAAAAATGCTTAATATTTATTTGTTTACTTTATTAAACATTTCTTTCAACGCACGCATGCGAAAAGCATACATTATGCATAGTCGAAATTAGAAAATTGCAACCAGAAAACTATTTGATGTGTATTCATGGTATTTATAATGATGAGGAAATTGATTTAAATCGTATCGGAGTACATCGAGATGAAACATTACATTTAGTAAGGAATTATAAGCCAAATAAAATAAAAACATCTGCCCTGAAGATAAGGATAGTGCTGACAGATCAACTTCCAGTTCATTGCGCGGCGCGACTCCCCCCCCCACGCAGAGCAGGCTGAAATTGATAAACAGATTTTGGAATGGTTAGAGAAACAAAGGAGCCTTTATCCATTTTTTGCAGCAATTCCACTTTTTGTTTGATGGACATCGAAACATGCTTTCCCTCTGTAGATCCTTTTGCAGCTCCAGCATTGGATAGTACTGCTCCAGCATCAGACAGCATCGGATTATATGCTCCAGCATATAATGACGAGGAATTTGATTTAAATCATATCAAAGATGGAGTACATCAAGATGAAATACTACATTTAGTAAGGAATTATAAGCCTTTTTGTATGATGGACATCGAAAGATGCTTTCCCTCTGTAGATCCTTTTGCAGCTCCAGCATCGGACAGCATCGGATTATATGCTCCAGCATATAATGACGAGGAATTTGATTTAAATCATATCAAAGATGGAGTACATCAAGACGAAATACTACATTTAGTAAGGAATTATAACCAGTTCATTGCGCGCTGCAATGCCCCCCCCCCCCGTGCAGAGCAGGGTGAAATTGATAAACAGATTTTGGAATGGTTAGAGAAACAAAGGAGCCTTTATCCCTTTTTTTGCAGCAATTCCACTTTTTGTTTGATGGACATCGAAACATGCTTTCCCTCTGTAGATCCTTTTGCAGCTCCAGCATCGGAAATTCTATTTGACATAATTGAAAGTTCCAACTTACTTTTATAAAACTGCTCTAACAGTCTGCAAAAAATAATAAGCCGGATCCAATTCGAAGATTAAAGAACAACGCAATCTGCAACATTAACTGAAATAGATAATTAGATAATTTTAGCTTAGCTTACACCATCCGTTATACATTAAATGTGCATGCGTTAACGTATTATGTGCATGCGTAAAGGTATTACGCGCATGCATCAATGCATAATGTGTTGACACATGCGCAGAAAGTTTGCAGATTTGAGGTCCGGATTATAGATCATTCTGGATTATGGGTGTCCGGATTAACGACTTTTGAATGTAATAAATAATGATGCATCAGGGATATAAAATATTCAGTAGATTTAAGATCAACAATGTTTTGATGCAGAATATTTTTGTATGAGATGTATGCCAAGCAAAAAGGCAAGAGTAAAATTATTGATCACACACATTTATGCTAACTAAATGATTGTGTCTTCAATATGGAGGCATTATATTGAGTGTTGATGAGAATCATGACATGTTTTAGTATGAAAAAATATTGAATGAACATGCATAAAGCATACACAAAATGTTTCTTAAAAAAATAAATAAAAAAAGCTAGTTGCTGTTGCGATTTTTAGATCATTTCAAAATATTGGATATCTGGATTTCAGACTTCGTACTGTATATATAATTGAAATAATACTGATAAATAATTTAATACCAGAATATACCACGTTAGGTGCATTTGCATGTGATGCATGTTGATGCAAAAATACTTAAAACAAGATTATAATACATAAAACTTAGGTGGCATAAACATCTAAATTTAGAACAGCATATAAATAAATCTGTACCTTTGTATCTTATAAAATAATTAACAAATGTCTAAACAATTTACCGCAACTTCTGGCAGTGATGAAAGTGTTGCTTTCAATTGATCAGGAGCAGGCAGGTTTTCAGGCAAATAAAGTGCTCGTGACAATAACAGTAAAGACGGAGGAATCTGTTCGTTTAAACTTAGTTCTAGCCACTGCTGTAGCTGTGAACGCAGACGATCTTCAGGTATACCTAAAGCTCTCATGCCTCTTGCTCTACAAGCTGCTTGAGCCTCAGACACTGTTAGACTGTCTATTCCTTCTTTCATAATCATCTGAAGATAAAATCAGTATGATTAATGTTTAGTGCCAGCACAAATTTATAACCAAGTAACTAATTACATGTGTTCAAAGATATATTAAGAAAGATGACAGAAAATGATCCCAGAATAAATTCAAAATGATAAATATGACTTTACAAATAGAATTCACTGTTTTGAAAACAGTGAACAGAACTTATAAATTATCTGTTGCTGATTTGCAGCAAGCATTCTTTCACTCATTAATGCCTAGAACTGAAATATAATGGTAAAGTGACATCTCACAAGAAAAGCGAAAGTGAAATCTGTGCATAACATGGGAATTATCAAATTATCTGGTGCTGATTTGTAGCAAGCATTCTTTCACTCATTACTGCCTAGAACTGAAATATAATGGTAAAGTGACGTCTCACAAGAAAAGTGAAATCTGTGCATAACATGGGAATTATCAAATTATATGCTGATAAAAAATCATCATTATAAATGAAGGCTGAAAAGTAACAACTAGATGGGAAAACTTTTAGTGAATTGTTTAGTAACAGTCAAATACGGGATGTTATGTACAGAGAGAAAACGTCAGGCTGGAAAAAACTTTATTACCAGACGTGAGACTTTAAGAGACTGGCTTTTTTTCTCACATCTCAGTACACTAAACAGAAAAATATTTCCTAAGACAAAATAACACAGATAAACGACTACAAATGAACTCTTACTTGGTCATCAGCTTTAAGATTCCGCAGCTTCATTCTTAGCTGGAATCTCAAAAAATTTGATGATCCAATTGGTTGCAGTTCTAAAAGCCTACATAGTGCAATAAGTTGAGGTCTTGTTAAGCTATCCAAAGTTATTTCATCTTCAAACAATTTTGAAAATTTGAGAATTTCTTCATTACTTGCTTGTTGGCCAGTAGTTCGTATCTAGAGGGGAAAAGGTTTGATTAACTGACATGTACAAATACATATAAAGGTTTAAAACTGAAGTTGTATATTCACCTTTGTCGTTCCGAATATTTGGTTACATTGAAATTTCAGAATTTAATTAAAAATCAAATTTTTGAATAAAATTTAAATAACATTGAGAATTAACCTTCAAATAAAATAGGATCATCCTGACATTGTGTTCTGGAGTCTTAGTTGAGAATGATCATGAAGCACATTAATTTTCATGTTTTATGTTTGGGTAACAGATAATGAGAATTGCCACAGATGTTAATCTCTGAGGCCAAACACAATGGATGGAACACATCACATATATTAGAAACTAAATCTTTGCAATTCCTATCAACAAGATTATTAATTTGGATAAAACAGCTACCAAAAGAAGATTAGGATTATTTAGATTTAGCAAAGCACCTGAGGGTTATCATTGCGTAAGTGGAAAGCCTTTTTAAATGAAAGTGGCTCATATTCACGTTTACACATGGGAAAATCCACACAAACTCCTATGCAGCCAGCATGTTTCCTGGGGTTTTAACCCAGTTAAAACTCCTACTGCTCTGCCACACGTGGACTCTCACAGAATGCAACATCTTACTCAGACAGAAGCTGTTACCCCTCATAGAGATTTCAGTTATATAAATATCATCCAGACTTTAATATAGATAATCATTTCAGAGAGAGTAGCTTGAGATACAATGTGCCAGATACGACAAACTGAGTGGTCTTCATGAAGGGTGCATATTACAACCCTCCAGTGCCCAATATAACAGAATAAAAATAGGTTGGAAGAGCAGACTAATTACATAATTACATCATGCTGTTGACATTACAAATGTTGTCCTGAAATGTGATGTCACATGATGTCTTATTAACACTTTGAAATCCAGACCCTTCGCTAACCTGTATCCTCAAAATACCAGACCGCCCGAAATAGTTTTCCAGTTTCAGTGCAATTTCCTCCCCTCCCCGTCCATTAACGCAGAAAATAGGTGTGAAGATTTTCAGTGACATCCTTTGTACTTTCTAATATATTCAATTAGCCTTTGACCCCGTTCTTTTATAAAACTATTCTGACGGTCAGACCAACAAGCATTTCCGGCTTTGTTATGATCATGACTGAGATATTGTTTATTTCCGTTATTTTTATAGGAAGAAATAAATTGTTTAAAAATAAATATAATCCTTAAATTTTTAAACTGCTCTTTTATTGCTGTTTAAAGCTTAAAAGCACACTGTACCACAAAAGAATCAACAACGAAATGTCACGATCAACCAACAGATAAGAAACCTCTTAGGACTAGCTGTCTGCAACAAACTGACACAATGCATTTGGGGAAACTGCACCTGCTACTGCATACCTTAGGAGGAGGGAAGAAAACAAGATTACAATCTTGGCTGTTTTCGGGCGGTTGTGGTTGTTTCAATGTAGGGCCCTGTCGGGCGGATTGGATGTGAAGGAGTTAAAGTATGACCTTGGCTTGCTTAAATGAGCATGATAAGAAAATAAATCTTAGAATGTTGGTTACATTATGTTGCGATAAGAAGTCCAATCAAAGATGCCCAACTCCTTCTAGATAGTTTAGTTTGAGTCAGATTTCATGTGCAGGTTTGTTTATTATCAGATACTTGTAAGCCACAGACAACTGATGTGAAGCACATCTAAACACAAAAGACTACATGTGAAGTTGGCCATCATACTAAATTTGCTGGAACAAACGTCATTACAAGCATTACTGACAATGCACATTGTTTACTAGTTAAGTCAGGAAAGGAAAAGCTTTTTTACAAAATAATCTTTCTTCAGATGAACATCTCACTACATGAAGATATCTTGCAGCCAAGAATGGTCAAAAGAAATGTAACTGTGCTATTTGCACAAGTAAGTTTACCGTTACATTCTACAGCTCTTCCCCAGATGTCAAGTAAGATTATGCTACTGAACTGTAAGTTCTAGAAGATAATGGCACCAATATTTGATTGTTGCAATCTATGCATCAAATGAAGGCCAACTGGCCATTGATACAACCTCTCTGTGTTCCTCATATATGCTCAAATTTGATGACAAGGCACCCTTAAAGTTCTTAGAAATATTTACGAATTTAATCCATGGTAGATGAATACTGCATATACCTGGTGCAGTTATAGTAACATATGGAAAATTCTTTTTTTTTTTTTTTTCCATCTGCAAAGAGTTAATCACCTATTTCAATTGCTTCTAGAGTCAAGTTTTGATTGAGACATATTTCTGCTCTCTTTGAATCACATTTCCCATGTACTATGGTATGGCACTGTTTAGTCTCTAGCCCTGACTATATAAATATTTTTCTATTAAATAACCAGAGGATTTCATTCAGATGAAAAGAACTTCTGGGTGTGCCTCCCCCCTTTTTAAAGTTTTGTTTTCTTTTTAGAATGTTCAAAGTTTAGATACCTTTTCAAAGAACATTACAAATTCCTTTGCAGTGTGTGAATGTGAGTCACCTTTGGACTGCAATGCCATTTCATCTAGGGTATCCTGAAGAAATTTTGCCATCTCAATTTTGACTTTTAATTGTTTTTTAAACTTCATCTCCTATAAGACATTAAACAAATATTATAAATATAACAATATACTACAACTATAAATAATCTCAAACAATTTAGTAAGTTACTGCATTAGATGATATGGTAAATAAGTTACACATATTAAATTCCTCTCATCATTACATAATTTCACAGAAAAAGAAAGAATTTAAATTCACTGGAAAAATTTGGGGTAAAATCCTCAATTTTCATATTAGGCATGTCATTAAATATGACAGTAAAAATAGTATACTAATAAATGGGGATAGTATTACACATATTTAATTGGTAGTTACCTTTATATATTAACAATGGACGACAAAGTACAAACAAACAATTTTGTCTGATAAAGAAGTTTTTATGAAAATAGACACCGACAACTTGTTTGGTACATGCAAACAACATTTTCATACAGGCATTAGATGCAATCTGCAATACAGGAGCAATACTTGCACCATATTCATTAGACATAAACTACTTAAATGTAAATCCTATTTTTTTATTTTGAGAAGTGAATTCCTTCATAAAACGAGGATCATATTTTTACTTTCAAATGTAGTTTTTTATCAATGGATAATAATATATTAGCTGTACTTAATCGCTCTTGTATATGGATTGCTCTGATAGTAACTTGCTTAACTTTTTGTAATACTGAAAAGATTGTTCTTTTGGTGCTGTAGTGATTGAATGAATGAAGAAAATTTTAAGTTTCACTCATTAGGTTATGAACATTGCTGCACTTCATATATATTGCCAATCGCCACCCGCCACTAAACATATACAGGTTTAGTTTAAAATTCAGGGAAAGAATACAGAGAAACCAACTCATTCTTAATTTTTATACATAAAATAATTTGCAGTACGGGCTGGCACTTAATTATCAATCTTCAAGAAAATAACTTTCATATCTCTTCATTCAGAAAAATCATAAGTTTGAGCTTAGTAACAGAACCAAACATTTGAGATAGTTGACTGGAAAAATTAAGTATAACCTCAAAATACAATCACATGACTTAATATTGATTACTACAGATTCTCAATTCATTTGCCTCTTGTAAGTTATCCTTTTCCCACACTTTCAAATCCATTTTTGTAAGAGAACAGTGCAAATGTTGAAATTTTGCTATCTTTTTATCAGAGTAAGCAATATTACAGGTATACTTTTTTCTGTAAAATTGCGAAAACGCAGCAGTGGCAAAACATTTTTGGGGAAAAAACCCTGTGAACAACACAGCTGTTAACATCCAGTAAAAAAATTTAATGAATAAATGAGTCTGGGATATGGATATGAAAATTGCAATGATCTTCAAAAAACAAATTCCTTTTTCATTCTTAGTCCTACGTTAACAAGCCTTGAATAAAGGCTCCATTGAGTAAATATGGCTCTACATATTGTTTTCTACATAAATTCATTTAACAGCATGAGTTCTTCTAGAAGCAACAGTTAAAAATACACAGTATTTGCAAAATTACAAGCAAAATAATGTAAATTTAAAATATGCAGTAAGAATAGGTGAAAGTGGCTTAATGATGTTTATTCTGGATTTGCAGTCCAATTATTTGCCAAACTACAACTGCTGCTTCATTATAAATTTCTCCTACAAATTTTCATTTCAATTTTGTAACATGCTCATGCAGTACTTCGGTTTATACGTACATGAATATTTTTAGAAGTTTTCCTTTATCATTCACATATCTGAAGTAGGTGAATACCTGATTGATTGACTGGGTCTGCTGCTTCATTTATGACTAAAAAAAAAAAAAAGAACTGAGAAGGCAGCATTTCTTTCATTTTTTTTTTTTACAGCCTAGATAAGAGTTGTTCAAATGCAATTCATACGACTGAAAATAAAAAGGATACCGTATTCAAAAAGGGACTTTCATTTAGGAGATTCAAAAACTCATCTTTAGACTGACTAAGAAAAATTAATATTGAATGCAATTTCTTTTATTTATGGAACCAGTACATTCAACATGTCTCGTAAGTAGGATTTTTTTTTTAAAACCCAAACCAAAGAGCACAAATAATCTGTTAATCACTCAAAAAATTTCCTCCTATTTAAAATAATTAGATGTTTTCATTTGTTAATGTAACTGAAAATTATTCTTGATTGCTTTTGTCAAAAGCTTTAAATTAGCTACCATATGACTCAGAGACTTCATATACCTTGAAACTGATGCTGCTAAAACAAACTGTTAAATCCATTCTTAGGCCACATATTTTTTCTATCAGAGCATCAAACAACAGACTAGCTTCATAACATGGTACGGTACGCAGCTAATTTCCTAGTACAGCACAGTTTTAAAATGTTTTACATATTTTTTCACTCTAATGTTAACTAAACAAATTAATTGAGAAAACATTTCATTTCAACCACTTTTTGTTTTTCATAGAAAAATCAAAAGCTAAATGGCTTTCTAAATTATTCCGCACATCCATATCTGTTTCATTATTGGATGTGTATAATATAGTTATAGAAAAAGGTCCAGTATTCAATGTTACATGTTTAATACAATGTCTTAATGGAAAATTAAGGAATTCAGATATAAAATAAACCAGATTTAAATAATTTTATTTAGCAGTAAAACTTCAAATTGAAAAATTATATTGGCATAGTCAAAAAATTATTACAGATTGCACTAAATTTAATGACACAACATTCACTCATTTTTTGTAGCTCTAAGGCTGCTATCACACATCCATTTGTTTTGGATGTACAACTGTTTGAAACAATTTTTACATTCTCCATTACCTGGTCCTCCATTACAAACAAGCTGATAGCTGATTGTTTGAAAACAAACTTGCAGTTTTTTCGAAATGAAGGGAAAAAAAAAATCGCAAAAGTAAACCAGCCAGAAAAATTGTCCAAAACAGTTGTTTGTATGAAACAAATGTATGTGTGATATAGGCCTAAGACTGCTGGATTCAGACTAGTCAAAATTTGTGATTTTATCATTTTTTTTTGGATTAACAAGTATTCCTTCTCCATACACCAGCTTTTCTTTCAGTTTCTCAAAGGTAGAATATGTATGTTAAACTCAACCACACTCAATTTTTGTGACACTGACATAGCCCATTAAACTAAATACATTTTTTAAGGGAACAGAAGAGAGTTAAAGTTTAAAGGAAAGAAATATGTGCACACCACTTGCACTGGTTATTTACTTTTTTTGGTCATGAATGAGACAAATTTCAAAGCATACATAATTTTGGGAGGGGGAAAACTGATGCCCTGCACTTCTAGAACAATTCTTTTTGCACTGAATTCTTTAACACCAAAGAAAATGACTTGTAGCAAATGTAGATAAATTATATTAGAAATCAATTTTTTAATAAGTTTAATTTTAGATATATGTTAAGATGTCACTGATAGTCAAATAATGTTTTTTTGCAGAGGACTAAACTCCTAATTATTTCATCAGTTTCCTTAGTATAACATCATTTCAAAATTTGTCTTCAAGTACGTACATCCCTTGAGACTGCAATGTTAATATTCTAATCAGCTGCATCACCATTCAGCACATAAAAATCTCCTCAGATACTTTGTTCACAGACATTCAATTAAAATACCATAAAATCTAACCTTGGAAAATAGTTTTAAAATGAGACACAAAATTCATATTAGTTTCCATGTTATCAATAAAACAAAACCAACTAAGCTTTAGAAGATTTTTTTAGGGAGAAAAAGATTAAAAAGTACCTTTTCAGATATTGTTTGAAACGTTGATGGTAACATTGCTGGAAATAACTTCAGGAACACCGGCAAAAGAAGCTCCATAAACGGAACTATGATAAATACAGAAAAGGGAACCAATCGAAATAAATCTGATACAGTTCTAACAAGCTAAAAGGGGGAAAAAAGCTTTAATATTATTTGGAAACAATTTTGGATTAAATATCAAATGCATTTTGGAGTTTAAATATATTCAAAATATTATAATAATTTACATATATATTAAAAAATTTCAGAGTTTGACTTATTTACAAAAATTTGAAGATTTTGATAACCATGAAGAGATTTAAAAAAATACATAATGCTAAAAAAATAAAAATATACACTGGTGTGCAAAAATTAAGAATGAGATGGTTTTATCAATATAACGTTATGCAAAAGCTTTCCAAATCAACAAAAATAATACCATAAGATACTCAAGATGTAAGAACGTGGGTAATGTAAGCATAACTTCCCAAAAAAGAAATCAAAATGATAGAAAGGAAGTTTACTGAAAAAAGAGCATAGAGCATAATGCAACAGAAGGCTGAAACATCCATGTGACAGATATCCAGAAAGAAACATCAAGCCTTTAGTCGAATATATGATCTCCCCTGACTGCAGTGCAGGTTTCATATCATTTGCCCATGCTGAATATGAGGCTGTCAATGAGCTGTTGAGGCACTGCTGTCCATTCCTCTTGTAGGACCAAGTGCAGCTCCAGAAACATTACAGCCACGCATCTCCCTACAAAGTTTCATACATGCTCAATGGGATTTAGATTCAGAGACATTGTCGGTCAATAAATGTATTCAATATCCTCACTCTCCAACAGCAGCTGTGTGACGAGGTAGAGTGTTGTCGTCCATGAAGTGGAACTGAGGACCCATAGCACTTCTGAAAAGATGCATGTAAGGAAAAAGAACTTCATTACAATAGCAGTCCCCAGTGACTGAACCTCCTTGGAAGATGTGAAGGTTGGTACAGCTACCAAGTGATAACTCCCCCAAACGAGAACTCAATGATCTCCAAACCGGTCCCTTTTAATGATGCTGAAGAGGTTATTGGGTGTTCCCCTCTCTCTCCAAATGTGTATGTGTCTAGAATCGCAACTCGGACTAAATCTGCTCTCATCCGTAAACAGTATTCGATCCCATTAATTAGCTGCCCAATTCTGGAGTTCCCTGCATCACAGAAAATGGTATCTCTGATGAGCATTCTTTAATGGTATACACTGTACAGGTCATTGTGCAAACAGACCACCAGTTTGCGGCCTCCTGTCCATGGTAAAATGCAATATCAGTCATCTAATCGCCTGTTCCATGCATCTTGCGATTTCTCCCACTATTTGCTGACTGTTTCTTCTTGCCTATAGAGCAATATACTGGTCATCTGCTGCTGTAGTTGCTCATGGACAACCACTGCTAAACCAGTACAGCTGTTCCTGTAGTTTGAAATGCTCTTCAAAGTCGTGAAACAATAAATACTATGAGCAATTCTAAACTCCACAGCTACACTTGTCACACTTCAAACTTCTTCAGTCTTTCCAATGCTTCCACCTTGGGTAAAAGTACCCAGATGTCATCTACCAGATTTATTCTTCAACATTTCACACTTATGCAGCAACTCAACATCATTTAAACTGATATATGCTGTGCAATGGCTTCCCCAAAATGCTGAGCTCACACCTCCAACAATCTTTACATCCCTCCAATTCTCCTCCATTACGTCTAGCTGCATATATGTGCAGCTATGTACATCTAGCTGTACATATGTGCCTGCTAATGTACCTGACCCTAGTCGATCTCCTGATTAGTCTTTTAGTTCGCTCTGCCTCTTTGTTTCACTGATATGGTAATTTTTCAACTTCGTCTTAATTTTTGCACACCAATGTACACAAAGTCAATTATTTTTTCTTTACAAATACAAATTTTATACTCCATAAAAAGGTATTATACAACACTGATCAAAGTAAATTATTTCTTCTTTACAAATACAAATTTCATGCTCCATAACACGGTGTTATACAACTTAGTTCAATCAATGCATACTGGTACGAACTATATACACTGTTGCGACATAAGTAAACTTCACAAAAATTCAGTGTGGACTCCACAAACATTTTTATGCCCAATCTTATTACTAAGAATGTAGAGAAGAGAGATTTACTTGTTATAATTATCTTAATGGAATATGCGTTTCATGACTAAGGACCGATTGTGAGTATGCAAATGATGAAAGAAAGCTCCACTCCCTTTACTTCAAGTAACAAGAATTAATGCAAATTGTAAATATTTTTTTGTACACAGCAATGTTCAAACTAAATTTGATGCACAATGAAAAACTATTACAGAAATATAATAAATGAAAGATGAAATTTTGGAGATTAACATCACTTTAGAACTCCTACTTATGAGAAGTTTTATTTTTTAAATGTATTTAAAATTTTTTCATGACAAAAACAACATGCTTTACATTTGTCTTCATTTGCTCAAATGATTCTACAAGTAACTATAATTATCATAATCTGGTAATTGCTTGTAAAGTTAGCCCCCCCCCAATTGATTAATTGTCTGATCAATTATTTGCTTATAAAATGAAAGAAAACATTAAGAAATATGCATTTTTACTTGGATTTCAGAAGTTTACAATACCTTACATTTCTTTTCCTTTCTATGCATGTAGCTCACCATACATGTATAAGAAACAATTTTACTACAAAAATCACTTAAAAACGTCCTGACTTAACAATTACTAAAAAAAAAAAAAAAAAGTAGGATGAAAAATCTGAACTGAGTGAATATATACATACTTGTTTATGTTCTCTCCTGGTAAGTTCACCTCCATGTAGTATCTTCCACATTAACCTTGTTGAGACTTTTAAGTCGATGAACAATAACCGGAACCCATGATAATAATGTACAAACTCATCCCAGATTCTTTTTCCCAATGAACGCTTAGGAGCAGGAGATACAGAAACAGGCTCTTTCAGGGAAGGTTTTGATTTCAATACTTCTTCTTTTAAGACCTTTACTGTCTCTTCTACTTTTGAAGGCTCTTTTGATTTAAGATTAACTGCAGAATGCACACTACGCAGACCAGCTGGATACTGAATAGCAAATGTTGTATAATAGTGTGGGACTGCTGAAGTTTTCTTTACAACAGTTGAAAGATGATATTGTTTCACGGTTGAACTACATTTTAATATGTTGGCCATAGAAAATGAACATGATGTGGATGATATGGATATTCGCTGAAGTCTTGTGCACATTATGGTACTGAGGACTTTATGCTGCATTTTGTAAAGTAATCTAAAGGTAAAAGGAAAAAAATAAAATTTATTTAAATTTATTTTTATGCGGTTTTAAATATATAAAAAACTCTTCCATAATAATTAAAGTTTAATATATTAAAAAAAATCTCTTCCATTTTGATTTAAACTACTATTTAATTACACATTATTGTATAACATATGGGACAAAAAGCATAATAATTAGAGTTTAATATTTAAAAATCACAGCTCTATTTAGAAAGAAGCACGACCCTGCATGATCTCCATTAATTAAAAAAAACTAAGTTTATTCTCACACAGGGATATTCATTTTGAGCACTTGGGTTTCTAAATGCTTATGTTACCAGTGTTGCATGCATATATGCTCATAATAGTTTGAATGCACACAGAATCGATGATAGCTTGATAAAATTTATTTTCACCAAAAGAAACACTTTATAGTTCTGGAGCTTTCCACATAAGCACATGCACAGCTCTCCTTGGTATCACAGATCACAATCAGTAGTTACACTCCAAACTACTAAGAACGTTAAACATATTACAATGCACAGTGCATCTAAAAGGTGAGGCTTTCATGGCTATCTCAATACTCTGAAGTGAGAAACAACTCAGAGTCACAACAACTGAGAACAGATGCTCTCTCTGGTCTAATAAAGTTTTCCCCTGTCCGCCGAGAAATTTTTAGTTCCGTCCTTTTTTTGAAATTACTAGAAGTTATAACATATTTCTTCCACCTTCCTAGCGTGTAGTGGTTCTGCATGCTGGGCCGGTCCAGAGGTCTGTGGTTCGATTCCCGCCGAAGGCGAATGCTTTTTTTTTCATCTTGCCTGCCTCCAAAAATACCTAATGTCTCTACAGTGACGCCCGAACTAAAAGGGTGTTGGATGATGATTCTAATCATCCAGGATTTGCCGATTGGGTCCTCTAAAAACCCCAGTTGCCCTTTAAAAGGGGGAGTATATAAGGTATTTCTCTCGCCTTTCTAGCGTGCCTTTGTGGTGTAGTGGTTCTGCACACTGGGCCGGTAATACAGAGGTCCATTGGTTCGATTTCTGGTGAAGGCGGTTGCTAATTTTTCATCTTGCCTGCTTCCAAATTAACCTAGTGTTTGTACAAAGGTATATACAGTCCCAAGTTACATATAAGGATCAGCTATGGTTACAGTTAGGGAACAATTATAGTTATTCAATTACAGTTACATAGGGACTAGACCAAGATGTTGCCAAGTTTGGTGACTTTTGGTGATTTCTTGCCAAATCTGGTGACAAAAATTAGTCACCAAAACCATAGCCAATTTAGCGACTTAGACATTTATCTAAATGTTAAACAGACTTGCCCCTCTAATCTTATTTTTCTGGCACAGCTTCAATCTATTCAGATTTTTTCTTTCTTTTTTTCTTTTTTTTTTTTGTTACATGGCACATAAAATACTACAATTTCAATTATAATTTCCCTAAAATTATTTATGTACGTACAAAATTTGTAATATCAGGTAAAATTACACAGCTTGTCCATAGAAGTCCTAATGTGGCCTTTATTTTGACAACCACTGGTTGTAAACACATACAAAAATGCTTAAAATAATAAAAATATCCATGCCATGGAATTTAAAATTTAAAATGCATTTCGTACAGAATTACAAAATCTAACTTTCAGTATGGTTCCTCAACACCTATAGTTAGTAAAAGTTTATGACACATTGAAAAAGTGAAGTACAGAATGTTTGACTACCAAATAATGAAAACCGACTACGAAGATACACTTCCTGGAACTGTTCTAAAAAGTGTGAATAAACACTGAAAATGAGCATGCTAGTAAACATAATTAATGAATATATTATAAATGAATGAACACCTACATGAACAGATATAAGCAAATTCTGATTTTGCAAGCATTTATTTTTCATTTTATATTTTCGAATATGGTGATTAAAAAAGCATTATTTTGAGGCTAAGGCTTAGCCTCAAAATTATTATTATTTTGAGCTTATTATTTTGAGGCTAAGGCTTAGCACATAGAATTCATGAAGACTAAGAAACTAGGCAGTTTTAATTCCATTTTTATTTCAATGTTGATGTTTGTAGCCACAATCACTTGGCACTCTACTCGTGCCTATTCAAGAACATTTACATTTTTGATATTGTTGCGATAGGAAGCGAATACAGCAAAATTATGGTTCGACCGCCTCATCCATGACCATGTGCGCAAACACACATGTGCCATTCGGATCGAATTATTCTTAAAATAGTGCAGAAGGATGGGGGGCCTTTCTTTCTCTCGAGCATATAATTTCTCCATTTCTAGAGGTCTTCACGTAACCTTTCCCGTCGCAGCAAGTAATAATGCCCCTTTTGAAGGCATCTATGTGTTTTGGCAGATTGCCAGCCAAGGTTGCATTTGAAATGGTCGAACTATATCCAATATGACAGGCTGTTAAGAGAAAGGCTTCGGTTTAAGTTCGCAAAGTTTAGATTCCCAATTACTACATCATCAACGTTATGCAAGTCTGGTGGCATAGATTAATCTAGAAATAATGCAGTCCAGAAACGTTATTATTTTTAGAAAGAAGACGGGAGTTAAGGGCTATTATTAATTTATTATTTGAAAGATAGATAGTTTATATTTTACACATTCCCCCGCAATGATCTATAATCCGGACCTCAAAGCTACAAACTTTCTGCGCATGCGTCAACGCATTATGCATTGATGTATAATTATCTAATTATCTATTTCAGTTAATGTTGCAGATTGTTCTTTAATCTTCGAATTGGATCTAGCTTATTATTTTTTGCAGACTGTTAGAGCAGTTTATAAAAGTAAGTTGGAACTTTCGATTACGTCAAATAGAATTTCCGATGCTGGAGCTGCAAAAGGATCTACAGAAGGAAAGCATGTTTCGATGTCCATCAAACAAAAAGTGGAATTGCTGCAAAAAATGGATAAAGGCTCCTTTGTTTCTCTAACCATTCCAAAATCTGTTTATCAATTTCACCCTGCTCTGCGCGGGAGGGGGGGGGACGTTGCGCCACGCAATGAACTGGAAGTTGATCTGTCAGCACTATCCTTATCTTCAGGGCAGATGTTTTTATTTTATTTGGCTTATAATTCCTTACTAAATGTAATGTTTCATCTCGATGTACTCCGATATGATTTAAATCAATTTCCTCATCATTATAAATACCATGAATACACATCAAATAGTTTTCTGGTTGCAATTTTCTAATTTCGACTATGCATAATGTATACTTTTCGCATGTGTGCGTTGAAAGAAATGTTTAATAAAGTAAACAAATAAATATTAAGCTTTTTTTTTTTTGTAAATTTTGATACCCTTTAGATCATAATTGCTCTTTATTTCATAAATTACGGTTTCATATTTTTAATTTTATAACTGCTGCATGCCATCTTACCAGATTTAAACTGATGATCTATAATCTGGAATCGCCGAAGTCCTGACGAGTCCAGATTAAAGACTTTTGACTGTATATCATAGCTGCCAACCTTGAAATAAGAAAAAACAGGAGTTTGTAGGAGGTTTTCATACTGTGTAACTATGCCACTTGAAACAAGCTACACATTGACTTAAAATACATTCAATAATGCATCAGATAGTATATTTAACTGTTTATAATATGAGTTTGATGTAAAGTGAAGTATATTTAAGTAAATATTCTAAATTATATTTCGTAATTTTTTTACACTTCTATAGAGTAAAATTCTGAATACAGAAGGAAAGCTTTTATTTATCAAAATACTTTTAAATACAGTGAAAATAAAATTATCAATTAATGTACATAATAATGGTGCAGATAAACTCAATAATGTATCATATGTTAATATAAAAGAAAATTAAATACAGACATAAATGATGGAATGCAGTGGCGCAGCTACAGGTTCTACCGCTCTTCTTAATGCACAAACAAATAACTAAATGATGTCAAAATAAATGACACATAGAAATAAATTTAAACTCCATATTAATTTCTGAAGAAAAATTTCAATTCCAGCAGTTTAAGATTTATTGTTTTGCTTGCTTTTTCACTTTCAAAATCCTCAATGACCATATTCTCTTTGATTGCTCCAGTTGCTGTAATGCAGATAGTTTGCAAATTAAACATTTATTGTTCTAAACTACATTCTGAATGATTTCTATTTTGAAAACTTTTCCCACAACTAGCAGTGATTAAAGCAATAGTGAGAAAAGTTCACAAGAATTTTACAATATTTGGAACTTGTTTTAAAGATTGTATTTTAGAATAAATTGTAAAAATTCAAAGGGACCATCTTTCCCCATTTCTGTTTTGTTTTCCCTAGCAATAACAGAAATAAAACTCTTGAAGTACTTCTCTCTCAATAAGGAATTCTTCATGATTAATGTCATTATGATCATAATTTAGTTGATGTTTGTAATTTTCATTCAAAAGTTTCGACTAAGTAAAAAAGCTATAACAAGAGTTTGCACCTGTTGAAATCTTGCGGTGATTTCTTTGAATAATTAATCTTGAGTAAAAGATAACTTTCCCCTCAATTTAATTTGGTATACAACTCAGAATCTCATCATTCTTTACGTGTCTCGAAGACCTGTGCAAAAAATGCTGCCCCCGAACATGCATCGCCGGAGGCGGATCATCACCTCCAATATGTCACTGATCAAACATTCATTGGATCTTCATAGAACTTTTGTTTTACAAATGCTTGCTGAAGATTAACACAATTCGAATCAAATAAAATCTAATAAGAAAAATTATGTTGAAAATCATTAAGGCTGAGAAATGGAGTTTGCATAATTTAAGTTCCATTCAATCAATCAATTTCGTTTATTGTCAGGAAAACTTTCTTTAATAAAAGCTAAAAATTAAAATTTGGTGATCTACCAGGAGGCATGATAAAAAAAACAGGAGTTTCCTATCAAAACTGGGAGTTGGCAGCTACAATATATACATATATAAATATATACATTCTGTTAAAAAAATTCATAGAAAAGTCTTGTTACATCCATAAAACTTGCAGTAAATGGAT